TTCTGAATATCTGACAACAGTAATGATGTAGAAAAAAAATAAAACCGAAATTGTAGAATTTGATCGTCAACAAAAGCAAATTTTTCATGTGGATGTCTGTAGAATAAATTTACATGGCACCTCAGCGTTAAAACTCATGCATTCAGATGCAGATTTAGTAGAGAAGCAAGTTCTGTGATCCTACGAACTCGGGAATGTGCTGCTCACGTGCTCAGTCACATGGTTGTAAATAAAATGTCATTCTGCTGTAAATAAAATGTCATATGCTCAGAAAAATGAGAATAAATTCAGATTTAATAATATCCTATTATTTGATTATTAAATCTCCAGTATAAAAATCTGAAAATAGACACTATAGTTAAAATGGTTTTCTGTCTTGCATTTATCTCTCAAAATGATGGATGTCATTAAAAATGTGGAGATTAGCAGAAATAACTTATTGCAACCTCATATTTATGTAAGGTAAACATAACGCTGCTAGGTTTATATTTTTATGCATATAGTTGTATATAATACATATTTTAAAATTGTATTGCATGCCTGTTGCTGCCATAAGGACCAAATCAAATGTTTACGTGCTTTTCTTTTTTTTTCTATTTGTTCTTAACAGCTGCCACTCGCTATGGTGGAGCATTTATGAAATATTGTTCTTGTATACTTTCAAGCATTTCAGTAATAAATATGCATGCAAATTACAGGGAAGTGCAACAGTTACTGTACGGTATTCGGCAGTGGTCAAAAAGGATTTAAACATTGAATTTTGAATCAATTTCTTGAGATGTGGATTTGGACAGCAATTAAATTGCCACACGACCTTCTATTTCAGCCGGCGATTTTTTTACACAGGTGGTGGAAGAAAAACACAGACATTCTGGATTTGGATGGCAATAAAATCACCGACTAACCCCTGTAAATGTTGAAAATAGCTTACGTCCCCATGAGAAACAATTACCGTCTGAATTGGGCTAAAGAGTAGAATTTACCAGGTACTTCTATAAAGCGGATCTTGTATGAGTTATGGTCTCTTTTTTATTACTTTATTTTGTTTTGATATGTTTGTCAGTAAGAGACTGAAAAAAGCCAACCCTGTTCCTATGGTTTTTGTGTAGTAAACAACTGAAAATTTAAAAGTAGATATTTCAATTAATTCAAATACCAGCATTAAATTCTCTTTTTAAAAGAGTGTAATGTCAACTTGAGCACAATAGTTACAAATGTCAAATTAAATGGAAAAACTGAAAATCCTTTTGAAGACAAACACTACTGCTCAAAAGTTTGGGGGACAGTAAGATTTTTTTTAATGGTTTTGATTTTCATAAGTCTCTTCATCCATAAAATACAGTAAAAACAGTAATTTTGTGAAATATTATTACAATTTTCTAATTTAACATATTTTCCAGGATTCTGATTGTTTCTGTCTGAAAGTTCAAAAGAACCACATTTATGTGAAATAGAAAAATATTAGTTTTTTTAATCTTACTGACCCCAAACTTTAGAATATACTTTGTAAATACTGTACATCTCAAGCTAAATACATTTTAATATATAATATAAAACAATATATGACATATATTGTATAATTATGACAATGTTTTTCTTTACTTAAGATGGCACAATGCAACATTTATCTGATAGAATGATTAAAATCTTACAAAATGTACTTCTCAAACTAGAAAAGGCAGCCATTTTATGAATGACCCTTTTGCATTTCCTACACTTGTCTGTACAAACATTTGCTAAAAAGGCAGTAACGTTCTTAAAAGTGAATGTTTATCGCTAATCAATAATTGTGTACATCTCCCTGGGAGCCGCTATTTTTGTGTGACATCATACACCCACATCAGTAAACTTACTATTTGATTTTACTCTTGCTTATGGGGCACATAAAGATTACTAATCAGATCACTAATAAGAAAGAGCTGATTGACCAGTATGTAGCTGGTGCCTGTATGAACAGAGAGGAAAGGTGCAGAAAACCCATCGGAAACTCTACCTGCGTTGTGCTTTGCTAGGTATTTGTCTTTGTACTGCTTTTTTTTCTTGCCAAACCAAGTACAGCTTGCCTGCTGTTCTTGCTTGGTTTTCTCCATGGCTATACAAGCCACCCTCCTAGAACAAAACAAACAAAAGATCAATTAGATTAACATTAGCGTGCAGCATATCTGTTAGCCTTGATGATAGTACATCTTTGAGTACTTTTAAATTGTATTGAGAGCCACTTGCGTTGTACTGTATCTTCTTTCCCTCTACCCTCAGCAACAGCCAATCACAATCTTCTGGAAAGAACCAAACTCACCACTCCTGAAGTTCAGGTGAGGGAATCAGTCCCGCCGTGCCATTCTTGGTGTTTTCCAGCTTGCCTTGCCACCAGTTATGGTCATCTTTGCTGATAATCTGGATTATGTCACCCACCCTGAAGCGAATCCCTGCCTCTTTACAGGGGATGAGGTCATCCTTCACCGGATCATACTCAAACTGTGCCCGTACAAAGATCTGAGAAGAGACATGGTCAGTGGAAGTCAGAAATGCCCTACAGTGACACAGACATCGCAAAGGAAAGGACTGACTGATAGAGGTCAGTGTACAAGAGGAGGTCAAGGTACAGCTGCAGGTCAGGGTACAAGTTTTGGTTGCAATGAGAAGCATGCGTGGCTGAAGCAGCACGCTATGAA